TCCCCTCTACATAGCTTCTTAAGACACCCAACACTCCCCAGGCCCCATCTCTTCATTGGCAGCTGCTAGCTTGATAAGCCTTTTGCTGCCATTCAGATACCAGGCACCCCACGGCCAACTTCACCATTCCATAGCTTGGGCCTCTGCTTCTGTGGTCTTACTTTTAAGAAAGAGTGTTTAAGAGCAGAGCCAAAGTAGGAGGAATACTTAGCCGAGAGGGCTGAGCTGTTCCCTAAGGACTTTTCATTTTTTTCAGTGGAGGAATCCACTCTGCTGAGGATTGGGGGCAGTACACAAGCAGGGGATTAGGAAAATCACATGCTGGAGAAGTCAGGGGAGGCCTCGTCTTACAAGCAAACCGTACTTTCTGCCATAAAGCTGACAGTGACCCATAGTGACTCCAGGGCAGGGTAGAACTTTCCCTCGGTTTCTGAGACTGTCACTCTTTGCGGGAGCAGAAACCTCATCTTTTGCCCTGGGAGCAGCCGCTGATCTCGCAGGTAGCAGCCCAGGGCGTAACCCTGATGCCACCAGGACACCTGAGGCAGCTTCCTAGGGTCTTTTGAAACGGATTCCAGGTATACAAAAACCTTTACGATCAGAAACGTCTCATCAGAAAATATATACATACATATTTACGTATTTGTACATAACTGAGAACAAATTTTGTACTGCGCTTTTCTCCCCTCATATTTAATATTGTAGACGTTCCCATGCTACTGAAACCCAAACCAAACTCATTGCCCTCAAGTAGATTCCAAATCCTCCTGTGACCTTTCAGGACCGAGTGGAACTAGCCTGTAGGTTTCAAAGACTGTCACGTTGGGGAGCGGAAAGCCTCATCTTTCTCGCACAGAGTAGCTCGTGGTTTCAAACTGCTGGCCTTGTGGTTAGCTGCCTGACGTGTAACCCACTAGTCCACCAGGCCTCCTTCATGTTCCTAAACAGTTTTTGAAAGCACAGAGCTGTGGTGTGAAAAGCAGTAGTGGTATTCCGCCATGGCTATACCGTGATTGATTAACCATGTTTTATTAGGCATTTTGGTTGGCAAATAATAATGCTTCCATATTTAATCAGTACTTGAGCGTGATGGAAGGAGCCCTGGGGGCACTCTGTGTGCCGGGTGTTGGGCTGCTGACTGCAAGGTCAGTGGTTCAAACATACCAGGCACTGCTCCATGTGAGCAAGATGAGGCTGTCTGCTCCCATAATGGCATTTACAGGCTTGGAAACCCTCTGTACAGTTAATAACTGTGGGTCTGACTCAACTTGCTGCAGCAGGTTTGGGTACTATTGATGTAAGGCGAACTGGTTAAATGCTGGGCAACTAACCAAAAGAAAGGTTACTGGTTAACCCACCAGAGGCACCTTGGAAATAAGACTTGGAGATCTGCTTTAGAAAAAGTCCAGCCCCCTCACAGAGGGGTCACAGGGCAGAGATGAGCCGGTCAGGGTGCAGTATAGCATTGATGAAACACAACTCTCCTCTAGTTCTTTGGTGCTTCCTTCCCCCCACTATCATGACCTCAATTCTACCTTACAATTCGGATTAGACCAGAGCATGCACACTGCTACAGATAGAGCCCACAACACAGGGAATCCAGGACAGATAAACCCCTCAGGGCCAACAATGAGAGTAGAGAGGATTAGGGGAGGGTGGGTGGGGGAACGGGGTATTGATTACAAGGATCAATCCAGAACCCCCTCCCAGGGGGACGAATAACGGAAAAATGGGTGAGGGGCGGCGGAGGACGATCTACGATAGGAAAATAACAATCTATAACTTATCAAGGGTTTGTGAGGGAGGGCGGGCAGGGGAGGAAGGGGGGAGAACTGATATCAGGGGCTCACGTGGGAAGAGACTGTTTTGAAAATGATGATGGCAGCAAATGTGCTTGACACACTGGATGTGATAAGAGATGTCAGAGCCCCCAATAAAAGTAAGAACGGGAAAAAAAAAAGCAAGCGCCCAGCCATGACAACCCTGTGGAGTGTGGTTCTGCCCTACACCCCGGGGGTGGGGGTGGGGGGTGGGGGTCAGACCTGAGCCGGTGGCAGCGAACAAGAACAACATTGAGAACAGTAAAGCTGCTTTTGCTTCCTTTGTTTGGGATGATTTTACAAATAATGCCCATTTTCAAGATCTATTTGCCTTTTCTCTTCCTAGATTCTTCAGGGGCATGACAAAGCCAACACAATGGTAGCCCTAATGAAAGTGTATCAAGAGGAAGATGAAGCGTACCAGGAGTTAGTTACTATGGCAACCGCGTTCTACCAGTATTTACTGCAGCCATTTAGGGATATGAGGGAAGTTGCAACTTCATGTAAACTGGACATTTTGGTATGTTTTCTTTATATGTTTATCTTGTCAGATTTTTTCCCCAGATAATGTCACATTTGGAATTCAAACATGCATGACTTTGTTTGAGTTTGCGCTTCTCTTGGGCTGGTCCGTGTAGAGATATTGCAGAGGAGCTCCGCTGACAGAGTGGGCTACTTGGTGAGCGGCTGACCGCAAGGTCGGCAGTTCAACTCCGCCTGTCAGTCTGCAGGGGAAAGATGAGACTTTCGGTCCCATAAAAATTTAGTCTCGGAATCCATAGGGCAGTTCTACTCTGTCCTATTCAGTCGCTCTGAAGCGTCAAGCTTGACTCGATGGCAGTGAGTGGGCAGATACGTTGAATTTACATTTAATAATTGGTAAAATGAAGACATTTGCATTGATTATCTTTATAATGCCTTAATGTTTCTGCAGCTGCTAAGGCGTTGGGATTTTTTTTCTGTTTACTGCAGCTTATTTTCTGTTTCTAAGGACAAATGCATGTGTCATAGGATGAGCGTACAAATTTGTAGAGCAAGGGTCCTAGAGTATAATTCAGTACTTTATAAATGTGCTGTCTCTTCTCTCACTTCCTTGAGCAACCATTTGGCTGCAGTTAGAAGAGGCGTTATTGTCACAGTGTTTCAAATAAATTTAGAGTCCATCCCCACAAAACCCAAACCTTCTTCCTTGAAGTTGATTCCAACTCAGAGTGCCCTGAGAGGACAGAGTAGAACTGCTCCTTGGGGTTTCCCAGACTGCAGGCAGTCCCATCTTTATTTGTGTTAGACGGGGTTGACTAGAGAAACAAGTCCAGAGACACTCGCGTGTGTGTAAGAGAGAGCTTTCTATCAAAGAGCAGCCCAGTCCAGATCAAGTCCATAAAGTCTGATATTAGCCCATATGTCTGATACTAGTCCATAAATTCCTCTTCAGCCTCACATAGCACATGTAATGATGCCAAATGTAGGAAGATCACAGGCCGGTGGGTGGAAAGTCTTGTGGATCCAGTGCCATCTCAGCGCTGGCATGATACTCCTCCAGCTCCAGCCTCTGGCTGCCATCAGTGTGGCTCCATGTGGCTTGTCAACAGGAGTGTGAAACAGAGAGGGAGTGTGTGGCCCACCTCCAGAGAGAAAGACAGGAAGTTCCCAGAATCCTCATGAGAAGGGTAGGCCCAGAAGGAGACATCATCAGTCTGTGACAGGATTGACAGGCTAGACTCCACCCCTACACTTATTTATCAAGTTGACATGAAATGATGTAACTACCACATTATCCCAAAGAGTGGCTGGTGGGTTTGAACTGCTGACCTGACCGTTAGTAGCCAAACTAGAGCCTAGCCTGCTTAAGCTATTAGCCTAGGATCTCGACTAGCTGGGATCAAAGGATGTCAGATTGTTTGGTCTCTACTCCCTGAACAGCACCACGTTACTGTACCTTAAAAATAGTCTCACATTACATGCAACTCATGCAAGTCCGATCTGTGGACAAAAGTGTTCTCATTATCTTGAGAGTCTCTTATTTGGATAATTTTTATATCCTACATATATTTCTTTCTTATTTTTGTTTATTTATGCTTTTTTTTCCTGCATTGCTATTTACACACTATAAATGTAAGCACTTACATACAATTCAGTGATTTTTACTATATTTAGAGTTCTGTAAATGACACTGCTATCTAATTTTAGAACATCTTGTAAACCACCTCCCCCACAAAACCCAGTATCTATTAGTAATCACTTCCTTTTCTCCCCCAAACCATCTAACCCCTGGGCTATCCCCAATCTACTTCCAGTCTCTCTGGATTTGCTTAGTGTGGACATGTTATATTAATGGAAGCATACAATATGTGCTTTTGAATAACTGGTTTCTTTTAACTTCGCCTAATGTCATCAAGGTTCATTGCTGTTGTAGCATGTATGAGAACTTCATTTCTTTTTATTACTGAAGATTATTGTATAGATAGACTTCATTTTGAGGATCCATTTATCAGCAGCTAGATGTTTGGGTTGTTTCTACTTTTGGCCTTTAATAAAGAGTGCTGCTGTGAACATTCATCTACAAATGCATACTCAAAAAAGGCGTGCTATTTAAATGAAAATTTAACTGACTAAGTAGTAGTAATAAATTAGTTAAAAATAGTCCATGTGACCAATTTCTTTTCCATTTCCTAATGGCTGACATTACTATTCTCTTGTTAATACAGTTTTCCCTTCTTTCTTTAGAAGTCCTTGGCTGAGGATGAGCTGGGTCCCAAAAGGATCGCTGCCCTGCAGAAGGAGGCTCAGGAATGGACCAGGCGGGCAGAAGAAGCAGTAGTCTCGATCCAGGACATCACAGTGAATTACTTTAAGGAAACAGTAAAAGCACTAGCAGGTGATAGCAAAATTGCATACTAAGTTACATGTGATTTTCATTTTATTCAGGAAAGTTGGCGTTTCTCTTAAGTCCCAGGCACTGTGTTTTCTAGATGCCAGGGGATTCACAGTAAGGAAAACACACAGGCACTGTACAGTCTGGTAGGAAGGAAGAGGAATCTTAATTATGTATTAACTCAAACAAAAGGAAAATGGCAATGGCAGCCGGTGGCGGGAAGCAGAGGACTGTCGGCTCAGAAAGCTTCTGAGAGAGGTTAGCCTCTGAGAAGTGGCACTTACCCCATCTCTGAAGGGTAAACGGAAGTTCAGAGGGCAACCAGATGAGGGAAGAACGTTCCTGACAAGAGGAATAGCATTTTCAAAGGTCCTCTGGCGTGAGGATTGACCAGTCAGCAGAACTCATAGAAAACCCATGGAGCTGAAGTGGTGAGGGAGGCTGGCAGACAGTGCCGGCAAGGTGGGGACTCAGCCACTTGTAGGGGGTGGAGGGGCCTGTGGTCCAGGTGGAGGACTCCCTCTGACCTTAGTCACTGTCTGTTAGTTTGCTAAGTTGTGGTACATGGATAAAATAGAATAGCACGCAGCTATGAACTATGACTTCCTAAATCTACCTTTAGGAATGGCATGAGTTCATTGCCATGCGAAGCGAAATCGATAAGCTATTAAAGCATTAGCAGGTAGCAGTTGCAAAATGTTGTACTAGGTCATGTGATCCTGTTTTTGCCTGGCTGTCTCAGCCTGTCTGTCGAGCTAGACATCGCAAACATCTGCACCAAACTGTAAGACGAAATCACCTCAGTAGGTAAGATCGCGTTTCATCATTTTCTTTTAAAAATAGATTATCGAAGACGTCTTACCAATTGCTATGCTCTTTCTTGAGAGAATAAAACAGTTATTAGATGAAAGCAGTTTTTTTCTGACTTTTATACAGGAGATTTTGTAGGGAACGTGGGAAGTAATAAGCAAAGGATGCCTCAGAGTAAATCTTCCCCTTTTTAGTGAGCTGTACTTTGTGCTTCTGTGAACTGCCCACCAGGAATGCAGAAGCAGATGGAACGGGATGCCAGGAGGTTTGGTCAGGCTGCCTGGGCGGCGGGAGCTCCCAGGTTCGAAACTCTCAGGCTCACGCTGACTCGAGAGACCCTGCAGCTCGGGAGAGCCAGAGAGCTGTGTCTAAATCACAGGAGGGCGGAGATTTGGAGAAAGGTAAGATGCAGGTAAATTGAACTTTGTTTTAAAAGCGCATCTTTATTTTCAAGAGCGCTTTTATGTCCATCGTTAGAGTCTCCTGGCTTGCCTTACGCGGACACACGCATGCCTGCCGGGCTGTTTCAGCTCAGAAGCAAGCCGGTGGGACACAGGAGAACTGCCTGTGAGCCTTCCCGGCAGCTTCACGGAAGCAGGCTGCCTCCTTTTTCTCCTGTGGGGCAGCTGGTGGGTTGGAACCACTGACCTCCGAGTTCACGGCTGAGCTGAGGAGACTGTCTAAGGTTTCCCACAGTGTTTCTCTTTGATTGACATCTTTTAGAAGATTATGTTGAGGATTAACTTCAAAGTAACATTGAGTTTTAGTATGGGTAGTGCTCTTGCAGATTCATCAAGCCATGTTTTCAGCACAACTTTAGGTGTTAGGAATATCGTCACTAAGTTTTTTCCTGTTATCTCTGCCTTAGAAGTAGAAAATGCTGGCAGCTCCTTACTGTAACATATTTTTCTCAAAACCTAAATGTTTTCATGTTCCAAGGATGAGATAAAGTCAGATGGTTGAAGAAGGCATTTTTGTCTCATTAGATGTGATTGGAAAGGTTAGGTTTTTATAAGTATTTGAAATAGAATGCTTCTAAAGTTTGTTTCTAATATGTGAATTTTAAAAATTTACTCTTGTTTTTTTCCATAAAACAAGATGGAAGACCTTCCAGAGCAAGAAAAAAATATAAATGTTGTAGATGAATTAGAGATACAATACTATGAAGTGCAATTAGAACTCTATGAGGTTAAGTTCGAGATACTGAAATATGAAGAGACACTGCTCATTACACAGTTGGAATCTATTAAAAGACTTATCAAAGGTAACTTTTATTTTTGTGTGCATATATTAAAGTACTTAAATTGTACATTAAGGAAACATTTATCGGTTTTACCCACTATCCGGAAGTAGTGTTCTCTTGAAACTTTCCTAAGCTGAAATAGTGTAAAACAAAGAAGAAATAACCATTACTTTATAAAGGAGACGTTTTTTGGTGTTCTCAGACTCCCATACTAAGCTTCCAAATCGTCTCAAAGAACGCACGAACTACAAGAGCACTGACGGTGTTGCAGACGCAGCCCAAAGCCGGGCGGTTTGCCGCTGAGACGCTGCGCGACCTCCGGGCAAGAGCGTGCTGACGAGGCGCTTGCTGCCCCAGCTGCGCCGCCTCTTTAATGGCTCGCTGCAAAATGCATGGTGACACCTGTTTCACTTGACACATTTTTTTTCATTAAAGCGAAAACCCTCTTCGGATTTCTTTTGAGTTGTGAAAACCGGCGCTAATGTAGGTCTTTCAGAAAAGCGAACTTTCAAAAAGTGGGTGAGACCCTTACCCTGTTACTAAGCACGTCTTGTAATTTGGAGCAAGCTGAAATACAATTTCCCTTCAGTGTTTTGATTAGCCAACTAATGGATTCCTTTTTAAACAGAGAAACCAATGAGAAATAAGTATTATCTTGGCAGCCCCATCATCTAGAGTAAGGAGAGTGGGGAACTTTCACCCCAGAAGTCACTGATGCCAGCTAACATCACACGCCTCACCAGAGAAACCCCCCAGACATCACACTGAAAAATCAAAAGGCCAGACTCACTGCCACTGGATTGGTGCTGACTCACAGAGACCCTGTAGGATGGGCTAGAACTGCCCTTGTGAGTCTCCCTGTCTTTCTTCCGAGGAGTGGCTGGTAGTTTTGAACTGCTGACCTCTCAGCTAGCAACCCAACATGTAACCACTAGGCCACTAAGGCGCCCACAGCCATCACATCAGGGGTGAATTTAATTAAATAGTTGACCAGTGTGGCAGTCACCCTTGGCAGAAAAGAGTTCCAGGGACACGCGGCGATAACAATTACCGTATACACCCGAGTGTAAGGCGACCCGAATACCAGTTGAGGAACCTAACTTTATCATAAAAATCACATTAAAAATGTGCTGGAAAAACTCGGCTTATACACAAGTATATACGGTAATGTATAAATTCTAGACTTCTGATACTGCTATGTATGTAAATAGATAACTATTTTTAAATGAAAAGATATATCTTTTTCACTTAATACATAGCAATCATATTTCCATTTAAGTAAGTAATAAAACAGTAAAAATCTTAATGGCTGCATAGCATTCATTAAGTGAGTAGACCAACGTGTTTATTTTTCACCGTTGTGGACAATCTTCTGCTTTTCCTTGCCCTGCAGGAATATTTCACTTTCATGAAGTCCTCTCTGTCGAATCTTCTTATCCCTGGGTTTTGCTCTGGGTGTTATGCCTGACAAAGTCTTCCTCATCCCCAAACTATGTGAATATTATATTTCCCTTCATTGTTTCATGGTTTTTCATTTAACTTTTTAAACCAGATGAAATTTATTTTGAGGTGGGGTAGGAGCCTCGCTTTTTTTCCTCCTCAATTACTAAATGACAATCACTAATTTAGACCAAAGAAAAACTGTCCCTCCTGCTTCCACTTCCTCCCCGTCTTACAGGCAGAACCAGTAGTTTTACATTGATCCCTCTATCAGGTGTTATTCTCTGACATTGATTTGTAAGTGGCTTCTGATGCCACGATCATATTGTTTTAGTTACTGTAGTTTGGAAATACTTTTTAGTGTCTGGTCGAGCAAGCAGACTGTGCCTCTGCTTTCCCACCAGCTTTCTGACTTGTCCTACCTCTATTCTCCCAGATGAACTTTAGAATCATTTTGACAAGTTCAAAACAAAAGATAACTTGGAATTTTGATTGGGATTGTGCTTAAAATTAGAGATTAATTTGGGGGGAATTGTCATCTTTGCAATTTTGACTCTTTCCCTCCAAGAACATGGTTTGTCTCTCCATTATTTTTAATTTTTTTATTTTTGAGTTCATCCAAGTTCAGTACTTTTCTTTATATAGATCCTGAACATTTAGTTTAATTCTGAGTACTACTATGGTTTTTTGGGGCAGTAATTTGAAGTTACAAATATCTTACATGTTAAGGAAAAATTCTATTAATAAGTTAATCTGGAAGGATAAACACCAAATTGTTAACAGTTTTTTTCCCTCTGGGAGTGGGATTCAGAAGATTTGGAGAAGGCGGAATAAAATTCAGATTTTTACATATTTTATGTTTATGTTATGCCTGAATTGTTACAGTATACAAATATTGCTGTTTTTTAAAAATCAAGGTATGCTTCATATCCTTTAGACACCGTCATATACTGCTGGTAGGGTGTAAACTGCCTTTCTACAGGGCAGCTCGGCAAAAAGAAAAAAAAAAAATCAAGAGCCTATTTTTTATCAAAGTGAGAAAAATGTACACTAAGATTTGTATTCAGATAAACTCATCACAGCGAAATTTATAACATGGAAAAGTAAGCCATTCTAACAATAGATAATGCTTAATAAAGAATACTATGTAGCCATTAAAGTTTTATTTCCCTTACTTTGAAAATATGATCAAAATGGTATTTACTAATATGAATAGCTATGTCTGTCCAAAAGCAAACCATCAGGTCAATTCCAGTTCGTGGTGCCCTGTGTAGGGGTTCAAGGCAGTGAATCTTTATGGGAGTAGACAGCCCGGCCTGCCTTTGCCTGAGGAGTGGCTGATGTGTTTGAACCAGCGACTGCAGTTAACAGCCCCGGGCTTAACCAACAATGCCACCAGGGCTTCTTCATTATGGTTGTTACATGTATGTTACAGGGGTTCCCCATGGTGGTGGGGTTACAGGTGGCCTCTGTTTTCTTTATATTCAAAGGTAATGTGCCTTATATGCGTGCATTTTATAATTCATGGATACATTTCTAGAGAAACAGGAGGAAGTTGTCTATTACGATACATGTGAGAGTCCGGAGGAACTTGGCATTGTTGAAGTAGTGGGGCCGCAAGCGGAGAAGAACGTGGAGGAGAAAGCACTCAGGAGGCAGGCCCAGCAGCTGGAGGCCAGACGGGGTCGGATCTGTGCCCGGAGGGCTTATCTCAGGAACAGAAAGGTGGGTGGGTCCAGGCGGCTTCCTCTTTACCTGCGTCCACGAATTTCTTCTTTTAAGAAAAATAAGCAGGTGTTGAAAATAAGGCTTTTACCAAGTCAGAGGTTTTGTTTTGACATGTACTGTATATAGATGTCAGTGACTACAGTTGAAATATATTTGAAATAGTCTCCTTAAAAGTCCTTGTTTCCATTGGGATTGAGGCATTTGCCCTCGTCTCTGGACTTTAGCTCTCACTGAACAACTGCTTGTGCATGCCTGCTGCATACACCTGCATGTGTAGAATCAATCGCATTCTCAACAGTGATAAAAATAAATAAATAATTTTTAAGCCAGTAATAATAATACTGAAACATTTTTATTGGACAGCACTGGCCAATTGTAGGCCAACATCTTTTTTCTAAATCGTCTAAATAAAGTTTTACTAGAGCACATATACACATAAAATAAAGGCACAAGAGGTAAAAACTTTATAGTGAATTCTAAAATGTATTTTAAATTGCTGATTAGAAAACTTCAGCCACAGATATAAAATGCAGCTCCCCTCAGTCTTTGAATTTGGTGAGTGGTTTCCCCCCATCCCCCCCCGCCCTGTTTTTTAAAGACTTTATGATTGTGTAAACAAATAACACCTGAGAAAATTTCTTGAGAAAAGCAAACCCGCCTTTCACTTTTATTCAGACTTTCATATGGATTTACTCATAGCTGTTATACTTATTGAAACTAGAAAAAAATAGAAAACTGGCATACAAAAATGTGCACAACTCTTCATGTGCACTTTTTAAAAAAGTGTTTTGAAAGAATAGCTTCTTGGCAGGTCTGCATTTGAGAACTGTGCCTTTGGGATTCAGGAGTTGATCTCCAGGTGATTGAAAGATAGGCAGGCCTTTGCCCTTTGCCCCCATTTCAGAATGCCCAGAGGCGCAGAGAAGACTCTGGGTTAATAGGATGTGGCAACTGAAGCCAGGCTCCAGAGTCCAACTGGGCTGTACCTCAGAGCCTGGCCCTTTGGTAGCTGTGTGTGACCTTAGACAAATTTCTAAAATCACTTGGAGCCTAGTGAAAAGAGAATAGTAGTAATGTGGGAGAGGAGGGGGCTTGAGTGGAGATTTGGACGGAGCCTATGCAAAATCTGTGCAGTATCTTGGGGTTACATCCCCCAGAAGCCTGTGCTACCCCAGCGGATGTCTTCAATAGTCTCTTCCACTCAAACAAAGTGAAAGTGTGTTCCGCAGCAGGTGGGAAGAGACTTGCCGGGAGAATCAGCCTGCGGTCTCCTGGGGCGGCTTCTCCTCTCGCTCAAGTTCTCCATGCGAGAAAACCCCTGTGTGCCTCTCAAAGGAGATCTTTGTTTGGGGAAGGCAAGAACCTAAAACCTCCGGTCACAGTCATAGTACCAACCTCCTGGTTCCCATGAGGCTCAAGTGGCTTACGGAGAGTGAAGTACATGGCATTGAACCTGGGACCTACAACATCATAGTGTCCGTGTTATGATTCCACAGACATTAAGGAGTAGATAGAGGGTGACCATAGGGTCGCCATGAGTTGGAATTTACTTGATGGCATGAAGGGTTTTTTGTGTGTGTGTGTGGCTGAGCATAGGTGAAATATAGCCGTTTCAGGTGTTTTTAGGCCAGCTGGGCTGGTATAGGTATGTTTGAGATTCTCGTGACTGTTTATAACAGGAGCGTGTGTTTCAGTCACCCATTGGAACAGATTCTTAGGACACACGGTGATTACAGATGGGGGGACTGCCCGCATGTCCTCCAGGTTCCGCCTTGTTGGGGGACTTACGTTTCATCTTTCAAAGCTGTGGTCCCCGTTCCCTGGGGACAAACTGTACTCCTCTATAAGCAGACAAACAGCCCTGCCCCCTGATGGTGGAGGAGATGGCGCATTAAGCACACGGTCAGCTCCAGTGAGTGACGTTGCCCAGTGCTTTGTCCGTTACCCTTGTATGCTGCGGGACCCACAGGGGGATTTGTCTTATTCCGCCAGGATCAATGCAAAGAAAACCACCGGCTCAGAGTGCAGCGGGCTGAACGGAGTGTGCAGTGCCTTCAGCAGCATCACAGCATTCAGATGGCGAGTATCCGTCGCTCATGGGCCTCAGCCTGTGGCATTTGGCGCTCCCCCACCTGGGCTTGGGGGCCAGGCAGTCAAGTCCTGGCCTGCACAGAGGGCCTGCGATAATGCGGGACAGCCCTTTCCTCTGTCCAGATTTAGTTTGGGAGATTGACAAGTCTATGTTTGAATGTAGAAAAGAGACAAGAGCAAAGAGGAGGAGCAGCAGAAAAAAGAATGGATAAACCAAGAACGCCAAAAAACCCTGCAACGACTGCGAGCCTTTAAAGAGGTGAGTTCGTGAAATCTCCCCTCACCTAGATTTTTATGGGAAATGTGGCGCGGCTCATGAACAGATAGTGTTGCACACAGAATCTTTCAAGAATGCCACTGTGCGGTATAGACATTT